ACGTGCATTTCTTCCTTTGATTGAGGGTCCATACTAACTAAAATATTGTCTAATGTTAGTGTTTCATCCTGTAACACACCACTCTTCTTACTTTAGTCACAGAGACTGACTCTTTTTAAATATAGCTCGTCGCTGACAGCTTTGATGCTTCTGCAGAAAAACAGCAAAGCTGTCTTGGATCAGCGTCTCAGTGGACCGAACAATGTGTGCAGCAGAAAAGTGCTTGATGTGAGAGATGCAGTGACTTTAGGTGTGTGTGTGTTGCAGGTTCGGGCGTAGATCCATGCTTCTGGTGGCTTTGATAGCCACCACCGTGATGGGAGCCACCTCGGCCCTCTCCACCTCCTACACTATGTTTGCCATATCCAGAGTGCTCTCTGGCGTGGCCCTCAGTGGACTGTCCATCATTGTGGCGGTTCTTGGTAACAACTCCTTCACACACACACACATATATAGAAAAATATTTGTACAAGTTTTATCTGCATTCATCTACACTGCAATGATTGAAAAAATTATAAACATTTTCCTGTTTTACCATTTGCAGTATTCTTTACGCAAACACTTTCTGCAACAATAAATTAAACGTTTTTTTTTTTCACAATAAAGATTTTGCAGATAAACAAAAAAACTTATTTGAATTTTTGCCAGATTAAAGGAATAGTCCCATTATTTCAAGTGATGTTTGAAAGTATGGAAAAGGAGAGTCTGTCAGCAAAATACAGTATATCATGAACCACTGAACAAACTTTACTGGAGCTAAATATACAGAATAGCTATAATTCCATGTATTTTGGAGTCAGCTCAAGTCAAGAATGCTGCTATACCTCATCAACATGGTCAACACAAAAAAATCCAAACTGAGTATTTCAGGTATAGGACTTGATTTGGTAGTAGCTGAGAGTCATATTCAAAACATAGTCTAAACACTACACGTTGTACATTTTTTCTTAGAACATTGGTTACTTTTGAAACCAATGGTCTTAAAAAAGAACATGATACAATTTAGTGAAACTGTCAGAAAGTAATACATATTGATGTATCTACATCTCAGTAATACATGGAATCAACCCAATTCCAGATGTCCTGTAATGATTCATGCTTCATGTCAAGTCAGACCGTGTGTATTTCTGCCAGCCCTGATACATTCCTCCACTCATCAGCTCCACTCAGCTCACCTGTGCACTCCTCTGTCTCTGCCTCCCTGCCAGATTATCTACTTGCTTTGTGCCTGACGTATCCAGCGTTCTCGTTTCTGCTCTTGTTGTTGACCACACTTCATGACCACGGATTCCTCTCCTTTTTGCCTTGTCCAAGACGGATAACTTCTGCCCATCGGATCTCTGGACCTCGACTCTCGCTCTGCCTTCTGACCATCGGTTCTCTCTCAACCCCTCTGACAGCCTTTTCTGCCTCTCTGAATCACCAATGCCTGTGTTAGACCACAATCTCAGACCTACGCTGCACAAACTCCACAGACTCTTTTAAGAAACAACTAAAGACATTTTTATTCTGACAAGCTTTCACTACATCTTGTTTTGTTGTTGTTTTGTTTTCATTGTCTTGCCTTTGTGAAAACTTTATGATCTATATGTCTGTGAAAGGTGCTACAGAAATCAAGTTGTACTTAGTTACTTACTTACAGAGTTGTAGCAACTACAGTGGAATTAAGTTGATCAATTTTTTTCCATTTACCCTTTATTTATCCAGGTAGTCTCACTGAGTCATGAGAACTCATTTTCAAGAGAGACCTGTTTTTGGGAGCAGATGGTGGGGGTTAAGGGCCTTGCTCATGGGCCCAGAGTGGGGCGAATGAGGGTGGAGGCAGGTGTGGGTGTTTCACCTTTTGCCACCCACATTTAAACTTAGACGAGAGCTGACTGTGAGCAGCAGGATGGTTTCATGCCAAGAAAGAGCACCACAGACACCATCTTTGCTTTGAGGATGATGATGGAGAAGAACAGAGAGGGTCAGAAAGAACTCCATTGTGTCTTTGTGGATTT